TATTGTAGGGCTATTTATGACCATTTCCTCTCCCCACCAAGCCACCAGCATTGTTTCAGGGGGATAGTAGGTGCCTCCAGTCCACCTGCCTAGCCCACACTGAGAGTGAAGATACGAAAATGTGAAAAGTAAAATGGAGAAATTCAGCAGCCAAGAAAAAAGCTTGGTGGAGCCCCACAGCTGAGAAAGATAATGGTCTCTGTGGTTAAAGCCAAGGAAAATTCATCTTCCGCTTGGCTCCAGTGCAGAAGTTATTCCTTTTACCAAATCAAGCCAAGGGGAAAGCCCTTTCCCCATGTCACAGTGTAGCAGAAAACACAGTAGTAAGACTCAGAGGCAGTGGAGCAGAGCCCAGCTGCTCAGAACAGAGATGAGGACAGGTCCCAGAGCCTGGGAAAGAGAGACTCTCTGCAGGCGTGGTCAACAGGAAGACGATGTTTTTGCTGAGCATTCTGAGGGACATCTGCCTCCTTTAAATACCATTAAGGTAGACCCAAACTGCAAATGAACTTGGAGCAAGGGCAGAAGGGAACAGAGTTCCCTAACAAGGGCCAAATAGAAGCGATCAAGCAGTCCCATGGAGTGGTTTAAGACCAGAACAGCACAGGCCAGCTGAGAAAGGGCAGAATGTGTAAGGAAAGACGGACGGTTCCTGCTCACACTTTGCTAAGGGTTTCCCCAGGAGGGAGTGGAAATGAATCTCACAATGCCACTGGGTGGTATTCATGACTGTTTCATAGGATGGAGTGTAGGTTACCCCTAGAGAAATCTACATGTGATCTGACCCCACAGTCATTGACTACCTATCCCGTGCATGACCCTTACCTAGTCTGGTACAGCAAAATGCCCCTCCAGGGACTCCTAGCAACCGATACCTCACCAGGATGTGCCCACCAGACTCACACAGTGGAGACTCCAGAGTGAGGCATCCAGGTAAGCAATTTCTCCCACAGGGAACACAGCTGTCAGCAGCATCTAAAAGCAAAGGAAGGGAAAAGAAAGAAGAAAAGGAAAGAGGTGGGAGGGAGGGGAGGAAAAAAAACCCTCTCAGTTCTGAGAGGGAATATATAGTATACTAAAAAAAAAAAAAAAAAAAAAAAAAACTTGAGCACGAAGAAAGCATAGTAGCCAGTACAGGCTCTGGTAAAAACTAATTTCTGTGACCCTGGACAAGTACCTTATCATCTCTGGGCTTCAATGTCCTCCTATAAAATGAGAATTGAACTTGACAAATTGTAAGGCCCCTTCCCACTCTGCAATACTTCCATCCAATGGTGAAGATGGAAAAATGAATTTACCCCAAGAAAATTACCGTCTTACAAGAGAAAACTTTATATAAATCTCTAGTCATTTCTAAACGATTTTGTAAAAGAACTTCCATGCACAAATTATGCAGGGCTCTGCTTTTTCCCCTTCCTTTCTGTTCCTGCTTCCCTTACCTGTTATTGTAAGGTTGCCATTCGATGAACAGCAGGAAAAAAAGAAAACGAGCTAAAATGCAATCATTTGGTTTTCCTTACTTAGTAAAGAGCAAATCTCAAGCAACAGCATGTTAGTGGGTACCAGTGGGGACTCGACACATCAAAGAGGAAAAGGAGAAGGAGGAAGGAAATGTAAGCATTGTTTTACACGTGCACAATCTGCTCCTCTGTCCTTGGCATGCAAGGAGTACTTGCATATGATGATCGTCTTCCCTTGCTGTCTGCTGAGGAGACCCACCAACGTGTGTGAGCATTAAGTTGAACGATTTCTCATGATACCTTAGATCCGATGAGTTCTCCATTAAAGCTCCAGTCTTCTCGTTCTCACAAATTTGTACTTTCACTCTGTGCTGTTGCTTCACACTGTACTTAAGAGCTAGCACTAATTACGTGAATCTGACCATCTCACAAGTACCAAGCTCAGTTGGTCAACATTGTATTAAGCAACTACCCAAGATCCTTGCCCTCATTTTTAGTTCGACAAAGAATAATAAGAAAATAAACCAAATAACTATAGAATGTGAGAAGCATACTCTGTTAACCTCTTATTGCATCCATTTCCTTACTAATAAAATAAGTATTACACAACCCATGCCTCAAAGATACCTAACGGTGCTTCATAAGTATATATGACTAGGTTAGGAATTACTTTATTTATTCCATGGTGATTTGCTGCACTCTGATCACTCGCCCAGGGATTGTGCTACAAACTTGTGAGTTTAGTTATTAACAAATCAAACAACCTTGTTACAAAGCAGTCCCACCTGGTGAGTTGCATGAATTGTGTGTCTCAGAAAAAGATACACTGGAGTTTTAATCCCCAGTAACTCAGAAGGTGACCTTATTTAGAAACAGAATCTTTGAAAATGTAATTCGTTAAGAGAAGATCATCTGGGTGGGCCCTAATTTAGTATGACTAACAAAGGGGGAATTTAGGGGGCACCTGGGTGGCTCAGTCGGTTAAGCGTCTGACTCTTGATTTTGGCTCAGGTCATGACCTCACCATTGGTGGAATGGAGCTGCACTGAGCCTGCTTGGGATTCTCTCTCCCCCTCTCTCTGTCCCTTCCAAGCTCATGCTCTCTCTCTCTCCCTCTCTTTCTCTCTCTCAAGTAAATAAATAAACTTTAAAAAGTGGGGGGAGTGGGAATTTGGATACAGACCTGTACACAGGGAGAACATCGCATGAAGATGAAAACAGAGATCAAGGAGGTCCATCTAAAGCCAAGGATTGGCAGCAAACCACCAGAAGCTGGCACCTGTTCTCCCACCCAGACCCCCGCAGGAAACCACCCTGCCCACAATTTGACACGGACTTCCGGCTTCCGGAACCGTGAGACGATGAAGTTCTGCTGAAGGCACCTGGTCTGCAGTACTCTGATAGGGCAGCCATAGGAAAGGAAGATACCTGGGAACCAAGACCAAGGACAGCAACACCGAGCGTCTAGACTATTCTGCAGCAAGACATCAGGTCGTTCCTGGACGGGTGGATTCAAGGCCTCAAGGCTTTCCGCTGAGTGGAAAAACTGAGAATTGGGGCCATTTTCGTTCAACTGCGCCTCATTTTCTTCCGGCTTTTGGCAATTGCTGGAAAGAGAAGTCGTAAAATGCATACAATGCCATTATTAACATCATTATCAACAATGCACGTACACAAATCTCAGCGAGAATTAGATTTTAATGTTTCCTTACAGGGTGTGCTGGTCCCAACTACGCCCAGCTAATTCACAGCGACAAAACTGGTTAAGCCTTTGCGTGATTTATTTTTGCTCCTATGGAAAGTTGACACTTTATTCATTAAAATACTCCCTTTAACACATTTCTAAATCATTGCTTTCCACTCTGATCGGGCCTCGTTTTCATTTTTGAGTTTCAGCTAGAATGGCTTTCATAATGAATTCTTTTTTTACCTGACAGGAGAAGTTAAAACCTCCCCCTGCTGAACATTTAAAAGGGAAATTCAGGCTCGTTTTTGTCAGGCTGTTTATCATACCTCGCAAATACTCAAATCCATTTCCTTTGGAAAAGGTTTGTCTTTCTATGACAGGCATATAAAAAGGCTTTATTACACTTCTCTATTCATTGGAGCTGCTCTGCCTGAAGATAAAAAAGAATTCATTTTCTGGATTTTCCTTGAATGTCAGGTCTATAGTTCCCTTCTATTATCAGAGTTCTTAACCCAAGAAGAATGGAAGGGAGGGAGAATTCAAGTTAATACACAATATCAAACTCCATTATTGACTAACATGAATATCAAAAATCCCAAAATAAAATCTGAATTCAAATGAAAGAGTACGTAAAGACAGAAAAAACGTTCTATAGGTATTTAATAGCAAGCAATCACTGGATTACTTGCAATGTTCTATGCTGTGGGGCTCCCCAGATCTGGAAAATCACTTTAGCACCATTTCCTAAGTACGGTCTGATCTGTCAGTTATGATATACAGCAGTGCTTCTCAGACTTCAGTGTGCATGTAAATCACCTGGAGATCTGGTTAAAAGGCAGGTTTGCATTTAGTAGGTCTGGGCTGGAGCCTGAGACTGGGCATTTCTAACAAGCTCCCAGAGGCACAGACGCTTTGGGTCAGGGACAGCCCTTCTGGTAGCCAGGATAGAGAACCAAAAGCAGTGCATTCCACTGAATGTAAACATCACTCCACTTTAAGCCTTGAGCTGGATCTGTCTGAAAATCATCTGAAAATTACATGAGAGGCTGGGGTCCAAATTTCACACTAATTTGCACCCACTCACGGGATTCACGGTGGTCTGGGCATGTCGTATGGGCTGCTGGAGAGTCCACGTCTGATACTGACCACAGCCAACCCTGTGGGCTCATATCTGAGGCATCGGGAGAAGGCCGCAGATAAGAGTCAAGATGCCGTATGCAGGAGGGACCCCGGGAGGCTCAGAGACCCCTGCGGGGGAGAAGGGCCTGTGCCATCACATCACGCATAGCTTCACCTCTGTGTAGATCGTGGGTGGTTTAGGTTTAGGTGCAGAAAGAAATGCAGATGGGCCAGGGGCCACAGGCGCCACAGGGTTTACGATCTGGGGTGCATCGGACGCTGTATAATGGAAGCAATGAGGTCTGCCCTCAAATCCCAGGTGCTGACAAGACAGTCCAAAGTGGAAACAGCGCTCATGATCTCATATGGCAGCCCCAGAGGCTCCTAGCAATAGCTTGGTGGAAGTCTGAGCGAAAACGGAAGTCATTCATTACACAGCTAGTGGCCTGAGCAGGGGCACTTGAGTCCCCCTATCTGTGGAAAGTCAGCAGCTTGAGGAAATTTGGATTACATTCCTTCGAGGGGCTGGGAGCTCAGGGCAATGAATGAATGACAAATCACTGCAAGTCTGTGTCTGTGACCAGGAAAATAACTCAAATACAAATAGCGAAGCTTCAAACAGTAAGCCTTGTTTACACCTTCTGGTCAAAGCCATCTCTCATTTCATAAGCTGCTAAGATGGCCAATCCCCATAAAAATTAAGTATTGTGTGGGGATAAAAGAAATCAGAGGAAGGAAGCAGGAACCATCAGTTTAATATCTGTAGCATCACTGGGGAGCGCTGTAAGTTCAGGTGAAGTCCATTGAGGGGTAAACGATAGAAATCAGCCCTTGTTCTATGTTGCTGAGCTAAAGACACATTCGATAAACTTCTGTCCCTGAACCTAGACACACAGGTCCAAGGTGTGAGCATCTCCCTTGTCTCAAAATGCTGCCTTTAGCAACTTTTACATTCCCTCAGTTGCTTATCCACTTTCCTTGCCTGAAAAAGATGGAGACTGATATTGGTAACTGGAACCGAGGGATGTAGAAGAACCTGAGATTCCCTCCTTCTATTTCTTGTTTACTTATTACAACAATCGGGCAAACCGAAGACACTGTCCATCCGCACCCCTTTACCCACAGGCAGCACCCAAAGCCTTTCCACTCATAGCACCAGAGGGCTCTGGCTTCAGGCAGTGAGCGAGAGACAGGTGTGGCGTGGAAAGTGGCTGTGGTGAGAGGCAGATCACAGCCTCAGTGAGTGGGAGAAATCGCACATTTTTGCGTGCTGTCAACATGCTCAGAACCAGTTATGTGAGACCCTAGATTAGCCTTTATGAAAACGGGTCTATGCCCCTTGCTAGTCTTTTCAGTCACTCTGACAGCCACCCGTAGTAGCTCAAGCCCAGCTGATGCTTCATCACCACCACTATCCCGGCTCCATTACCCTAACTGTGACCTATGCCTCGGTTTCCTTTTCTGTAAAACGTAAAGAGAAAGTACCCACCTCATAGTGTGGTTGAGAAAAAAAGTGAATAAGGCATGGAAGAGACTTAGTGCAGTTCCTGGCATATAGTAGGTGCTTGTTAAATGCTGCTGTTGTGGTTTGTGCCCTGCCTTCTACTGCCAGGAGACGAGGTAGTGTAGTGGTTAGCAGCACAGCTAAGGCCTGGATACATAATCCCATCTCTGCTGCTGACCACTGGCAAGTTGTTTAACTGCCCTCTCAGCTTCCTCACCTATAAACTGGGGATAATTAACAGTGGCTGCCTCAGAGGGTTCTTACAAGACTAAGTGGGATAATCCTGGGAAGCACTTAGTTCACAGGACCCAACACACAGTGACTACTCAATGCGTTTATGTGCACTTACTTTTATTATTATTGTCATCTGACACCTTTAAGGAGAAAGCAGCTTCCGTGTGAGCATTGGACAATGTGTTACAACCAGCGCACTGGCACAAGAACCTTGGTGCAAGACGCTCACGCATTGGCACCAACCCCCTAGTCATACTGCTTCAAAAGACACTACTTACTAGTCCCAGTGCCAGTGGGGGGAAATGTAAAGTCACTTTCTCCAACTGTACTTTAGCTCATGCTCTTCCCCAGACAGAGAGTTGTCATCAAGGGGGCAGATACAATTTTCTGAAGTCTTGATGAAATCTTTATTTAAACCTTAGACATACTGCAAAACATTTTTGAGGATTTGGATTATCCCCACCTGCCAGCTCCTCACAGCTTGTCTAAAGAATAAAGACACACACTTAAATAAATGAAAAAATTTTTCAGAAAAAGATGTTGCCCCTTGCATTTTGAAATAAACAACATTATTTCCCAGAATCCTCTAATAGGCTGTAAGCAAGGCTTTTTTGAGCTTCCCTTGCAGTGTGGACCTGAGTTCTCCATGAAGCCTTGGAGGAGCAGGAAACAGGAGGAGTCATTCTCCAAGAAAAGTGAATCCAATAAACACAGGCCATCAGCACAGAACCTCAAATCTCATCTGAGAAGTTTGCCTCACTACAAGTGTTCAGCAGTTACAAAGCTAGTAAACTTTGAGTAGAAAAACACAGATGGCAGTCAAGGCTGGCTCCAGGCCATGTTTGCCTCTGAGACTTCTTCTGCCATCCTACCGCCAATACCTTCTAGAAGCTTCCGCATCACACTCCAGCCTCCAGCATACGCCCACACTCCATATTCCTGACCCCTTCCAAATGCCCAGGATGCACGGTAGGAAACATCTCCCTGATCCTAGACCTGTGCCTCTTCCCTCCCTTTATCAAAACTTACCCCTGCCAACTCCTACCTCAACAGGCCTCTGTTCTCTTTTGTTGAAAATCCGTCAGACCCTAGCTTACACTAAGGCAGTAGAGGCAATTACTTACATGGAGTGATTTAAAGCATACCACCTAAAATATTCTCTGTCCCCAACACTAAAATTTCCCTCCAAACACCTCTCACAGTACCTGAAACACCATCATCAGGTTTTTTGCTGCTTTCGATCCAATCTGTACTGTTTCCATGAGTCCCCTGTTGAATTACAATAGCAACTTGCTTAGAACATCTCAAATCATAACCAGGAATATCTGGTCTCATAGAGAAGGGACTAAAGACAAGGAAGTTGTAACAGAAAAGTAAGGGGAGAGAAACAGGTCTAGAGTACAAGGGATTCTTTTCTTTAAAAGGAATAAAGGGGCACCTGAGTGGCTCAGCCAGTTCATCATCCAACTCCTGATTTCTGCTCAGGTCATGATCTCACAGTTTGAGAGTTCGAGCCCCATGTCAGGCTCTGTACCGACAGCATGGAGCCTCTTTGGGATTCTCTCTCCCTTTCTCTCTGTCCCTCCCCCCCTTTCTCTCTCTCAAAAATAAATAAATACACTAAAAGAGAAAGAAAAGGAATGGAGATGTTTCTTGGGCAAACAAGGGGTGATATGAAGGCTGTGGCTTACAGAGAAAGTTAGAAGAGATTAGGAATAAATCTCACCATTTCAGAGTCCTGGCAGTGATGGACCGTAGTGGAATCACAACTGGATAAACTAACTCTCATTTCAGTGTGTTTTGTGGCTGATATGCTTGCTCCCATTGTCTTGCTTCCTATCTGCTTCCACTTCTCTTTCTCCACCCAGCGAACTTCTCCCTAAAGCCAATGAAAATGTGGCCTTTACTTTGAAAATAATACCAATATGTGGATCATGCGCTGCAGCAAAACAGCAAGGGGATACCTATTGGTGGGGAGGTGAGGACCCTTCAACCAGCCTCTCAAATCACTGCATTATTGCGATTGCTTGCTTCATTTTATACAAGACCGGTTAGTTGGTTTTATTCTACTTGTGTCCCTTCGTTCATTCACCAAATATGTGTTGAGTATCCAGGAGAGGCCAGGCTCTGGAGATCCAAAAATAAAGCCACAATCCTAACTTTAAGGACTTCATGTGCTGGTAAATCCACACTCCAAAAATCCATAGCCCTGATTTGGCAAGTTCCATGATATATACAAATATTGTCTCTATAGTCGATATCCAGCTACCCACGGTGAACAAGTGGCCCTCAACACTACTCTGTAACAGTATGCTCTCCCCAGTTGAGACTAGCAGGCTCCAGCACAACCGCTGGACCTCACAGGTGAGAAGGGGAGGCAACAAGTCAACCATCAGCATGCACAGGCAGTCACAGAGCACAACGGAAACACAGAACCACAAAAGTAAGAGACAGATTCTACCTGCAGAGGGTCAAGGGAAACAGAAGAGAAAAATCATGAACTTCAGCTACTGAAGGAGAGAATTTAATGTGTCAATGCCCCACTAGACCATAAGCACAGACTGCTTTCTTTTTTCTGTATCTGTCTTGTAATGTCTTCCGGTGGATGTCTCAGTGTGTGACATACATATACGTTATAGCTATTCACTGAGATTTTGAAGCAAAGGGAATCCACGCGAGTGGCTTGCTCCTTTTTCCTGGTGGCTGTACAAGTGGTTTCCAGATTTTACAAAAGGAAACCTTGCCATTGCTGAGTGTACCCTGAAACCTCATTTTATTATTTTGACTTGAGTTTTAATTAACTGTACATATGGCTGCTTGCTCATTAGGGTCATATGGCCCAGCTGGGGATGGATCTTCCTGGCATCTGGGCTGCGTTAGCATGTGCCTTTGGGATTTGGGTCTCTGACAAGAGGCTGTGAAGGAGAAATTCGGGAAAGGTTACAAATTCAGGTGCCAAAAGCAACTGCTTTGGCTCCTCCAACGTGAGAGCAAAAGAATAAAGAACCATAGAAAAATGGTCCAAAGTAACAAATCAAACTTGCTACGAAGCAGAGTTTGACCAAGCACCAACCAAGCACACTAGAGTGCTGGATGGGGGCTAAAGCGTCTGCAGATTTTAAGACTTGGCCATTTCCAAAATAAAAATTCAACGACATGCTACTCAATCCAATAGTAGAGAATGCCCAATGGCCTGGAAGATACCACTCCACAGAGGTGCAAGTTTTGTTTGTGTGACTGCTAAATCTCTCTCTCTCTTTTTTTTTAATGCGAAGCCCAGGAAACACTTAGTGGAAAACAGGTTTGTAACCCTGGTAAACCACATGGCTAGCTGCCTTCCAAAGAGGCTTCCTTTCTGGAAAGTGTGTACTTATCTAAAATTGAAGTTGTGCCTACCAATGCTAAAAACAACGGGCCTGTTTAATCGTGTTAGTTGCAGGGGGAAATTCATCGGTCTATTACTGATAATGTGTATTCAAACTGTGGATTCACTAAATTTTCAACTGTTGAAACATCTGGAATGAAGTCACTGCTCCAAAAAATACATAAGAAATGTGAAACAGGACAATAGTTTAAAGGAACTCACAAAAGCCTCCAGCATCCTCAAACATCGATTATAAAAGGCCAATCAAGTTTTGATTCCTTTACGGAAAATGAATAATTCTTTGCCAGTTGCTTCCAACCTCAGCCCTTCCCCTTTTAATAAAAATCTTTGTGTGAACTCTCTTAAATTCAAATTTTCTACAACATAAATACATCATGAGATTGCTCCAGGGGCCCCACAGACATTTTCTTAGTATCAGAAGCACAGTGGGAACTAACCTCTCATTTACAATACGTTTGAGCGTAGAAAGTCACTAGCCTGGAGACCCCCTAAAGCACCAAAAATTTCCCTGAATTCATTAGCATATACTCTACTAAGCAGTAATATTAGTAATATGTATCGAATCATATTTATCACTTACATTCTAGCTACCTCCAAAAGTATTTGAAGCAGTTTAGACAACAGACACATATACTTTTCAATTGTTAAAATAAGGATAATCAAATAAAAATATCAAAAGTGTATATTTGAGAGGAGAAAGGTTATTATACCAGAAACCCACGCTAAGGAGTGATACTACAATTGAGTCCTAAATTTTGCTTCAGAATTTTCTAGTGGCCAATAGGAAATTTGGTGAATTATATAATTCTCACTCATTAAAACAGAAATAAAGTTTTTTCCTTGGCACTAAAATCCAAGAGAAAATTATTACATGAATCCTTATATAAAGAACCTGTAATAATTAGCGACTTTTCAAGCAATTTTAAAGATGCAAATACATTCTTCATGTGAACATTTCTTATATTTAACCTCAGGGGTATAATATTAAACCATAATTTTATGCAGGCATGTTTCCAAATAAGTAAACTAATATAGTCCAGGTATGTGATTTTGTGACGCTGTAATTTCATGTGGAGATAAAGCCTAGAAAATCTAGAACATTAGATGATTAGAAATTCTGTTAGGTTACCTTCATCAAATATAAAATACCATGGCTGTGCTTTTGAGAGGCAATTCAAGACTGAGCTCTCCTTTTTAAATTTTTTTTTTCAACGTTTATTTATTTTTGGGACAGAGAGAGACAGAGCATGAACGGGGGAGAGGCAGAGAGAGAGGGAGACACAGAATCGGAAACAGGCTCCAGGCTCCGAGCCATCAGCCCAGAGCCCGACACCGGGCTCGAACTCCCGGACCGCGAGATCGTGACCTGGCTGAAGTCGGACACTTAACCGACTGCGCCACCCAGGCGCCCCAAGACTGAGCTCTCCTGAGTGTCTCTATAGTTCTATTGATGCCAGAAATCAGACCCATATGCGTCTAGTAACAGAAGTGCAGGGAGCAAGATGCCATTTGGTTATGAAATTCAAAGAGCAGCACAGTGGATCTCTATCACGGTACCGGCCCTGCCCACAGCCCCCATAGGCACCTTTGCTGAAGGGGTGATACCGCATGTACCTGGCCAAAGGTAACTGGACCAGGGGCAGTCACTTGACTTAAAGGCCAAGAAGGCACAGGCTTATGACATGGCTTGGCTCAACCACATGAACTTGTCCATTCTGATTCTCACCCTTCAACATTTAAGCCAAGAAATTCTGACATTAGGGCAGTTAACTGTGGAAACACTAGTTTAATGAACATAATATAAATAGAAGCCAGGATTCATGTTGGCTCTGTGTGTAAAACAAAGAGAAAAAAGAGAAATCTAAGAGAAGCAGCAGATATGAGGAAAAGAAGTACAAGTACAGTAAAACCTGGTTATAAGTAACTTGTTCTGTGAGTGTTCCACAAGACAAGCAAACGTTTCTAATAAATTTTAACTTGATAAATGAGCGATGTCTTATGAGTAGTACATGATGCTGAATGTTACATGATCACAACTGAGCCAATGGTTTTCTCTCTCTCTCTCTCTCCCTCCCTCTCGCTGCAGGATTGTGGGTGATCATCTCCCATGCTTGGATGCTTGGTCTCAGGCTGTGGTGTTTGGCAGAAATCAGTGATTTTTCAAACGTTGGAAGGTGCCCATAACTGGCTCTAGTGTATTTTTTGTCACTTCAAAGCACCCATGGACAGTCCTTTGCTTTTCTATACCAGAGTAAGCTTAAAAATGCTTTGCTTCGGGGCGCCTGGGTGGCGCAGTTGGTTAAGCGTCCGACTTCAGCCAGGTCACGATCTCGCGGTCCGGGAGTTCGAGCCCCGCGTCGGGCTCTGGGCTGATGGCTCGGAGCCTGGAGCCTGTTTCCGATTCTGTGTCTCCCTCTCTCTGCCCCTCCCCCGTTCATGCTCTGTCTCTCTCTGTCCCAAAAATAAATAAACGTTGAAAAAAAAATTAAAAAAAAAATGCTTTGCTTCATTCTAGGTCAGGCTGTGTGCAGTTATAGACCCTTTCCTCTGCTGCCTTATTGCCAGTTACATAGATACAATATATGACAAGAGTTTATTAATACTGTACTGTAGTCAATATCCTGTGAGTGTATACAATGGCCCCCATGCAGAAAAAGGTTGAAAAGAAGGGTGGTAAGAAGGGGGAGATGATTACAGTGGAAGTCAAGAAGGAAATCATTGAGAAGTATGAACAAGGTATGCAAGTGGCTGAAATTGTAAGATTTTATGAGAAGTCTACATCTTCCTCTGCAAAGGAGGAGAAAAGGTGGAGGAGTCCCTCACTTCAAATGAGATTAGGGAGATGCGTAAAATGTGGGAAACAGGGCAGGGTGTCTGGGTAGCTCAGTTGGTTAAGCAACTGACTTCGGCGCAGGTCATGATTTCACGGTTGATGAGTTTAAGCCCTGAGTCTGGCTCTGTGCTGACAGCTGAGAGCCTAGAGCCTGCTTGGGATTCTGTCTCCCTCTCTCTCTGCCCCTCCCCTGCTCATGCTCACTCTCTCTCTCTCAAAAATAAATAAACACTTTTTTTAAAAAATTTTAATGCGGGAGACAGTGCAAATTTTTGTAGAAAAGCACCACCTGAATAAGGCTGTAGCAGTGCAAGCGATGAATCTGTTTAAGGACAATGCAATGTCACATTTCCGTGAAATCCTCAAAAAGAGGCAAAAGCAAGTGTCACTGGACAGGTTCCTTGTTAAACTTGCACGAAAAGAAAAAGATTCCACTGAGCCAATAGAGAGCAGTGATTCCATTGGCGATAATGAAAGTCGTCCTACACAATAACCCTCCTCTTTCTGTCTCCCTCACACCAGCCACGAAGGTTTTCAAAGGTAAGTTCAGGTTAATTTGTTTATTTTCCCTTCTATTTTGTATTTTCTTTATTCTTTTGTATTCTATTACAGTATTGTAATTATTTTTTATATGAATATTTTTGGGTTGTAGAACGAATCATCTGAGTTTCCATTATTTCTTATGGGGACACTCACTTTGATACACAAGTGTTTTGGATTACAAGCATGTTTCCGACACCAATTATGCTCACAAACCAAGATTTTACTGTATATGGAGGTAAAGATGAGAAAACTGAACAGAGAGAGGTTCAAGAAGCAAATCTGCAGTGGGGGCTGAGGCACATCGATATCAAAACTGTAGCATTCAGACCATCTCACCTATCTCTGATCAATGGATTCTGTCTTTTCCATCCAGTTCTTCAGTTTTTCTTGGTTTCCTGTGTGCATGCAGCCTTAAAATAAGTGGCGAATTAGTGGAGGTAATATTCTTTTTTTTCCCATTTTTTTAAATATTTATTCATTTTTGAAAGGCAGAGAGAGACAGAGCACGAATGGGGGAGGGACAGAGAGAGAGGGAGACACAGAAACAGAAGCAGGCTCCAGGCTCCGAGCTGTCAGCACAGAGCCTGACGCGGGGCTGGAACTCACAGACCGCAAGATCATGACCTGAGCCGAAGTCGGCCACTTAACCGACTGAGCCACCCAGGCGCCCCTAGTGGAGGTAATATTCTAAGTCACTCAGTCTGCACCCAAGAGGATAAATGAAAGTACGTTGCTTCATCTATGGAAAGAAATGTAGGCCTATGCAGCAGGTCCATAGGAGAAGTTCACTGAGCTAGAGGCAACTTGTCCTCAAGCAACATCTTCCTGGGGGTCTGGACAAACTGAAATCAACTGACGCCTTTGAGCTCTTACCATGAAGTACAAAATAAACAACTTTGGCCTGAGAGAAATATTTTAAAAGCAAGTGTCAGCGGGGTTCTTCCTTGGGAGGTGAGGAGGAGGATGCTAGTACACTTGCCTTGAATACACATCTGACTTTAAGCAACATTGGTCCCAGGCCAGGGCCAGCGAGGATGGTTAGCTACAGAGGGGTTGGTCCTAGACATTTTGTGGTAGAGTCCACCTGAATATGGAAAATTGTCAACACAAAACAGCAATTTTGATTTGGAAGAACTAACAGAAGGAAAAAAAAAAAAGATAAAGGCAATGAAAGTGATGAAAGACATTTGCTGGGAACAGACAGCCCGGATTTGAACCCTGGCTCCCAAATGTGTTAGATGTGGAACTTTCAAGTCACTGTGCCTTTGCTTGTTCATTTGTAAAGCAGGGTGATTAGAGTATCTCCCTCACGGAGTGGTTATGAGTTTTAAATGAAATGATCCATGGAGATCACATAGCACGCTGCCTGGCACACGGATGCTCCATAGATGTCACCATCCCTCCTCTGGGAGCCTTGTTTCTGATATTCCGGTCACTTCACGCTCAGACCCTCAGGAGTCATCTTTGGGAAAGCATCAAAGGAGCAGAATGAAAAGGCAAAGCACACTTAGGGAAGGCAGATGATATTGACATTTTGACACGAGGGTATTTGTGGATTAAATGCATGGTTTTGAAGAACTAAAGTTCTGAGAGGTTGGTGAGGATGAAAAGCCATTTTATGCTGGTGAAGATTCAAATGTCCGTTCAAATATCTGGCATACTGTAGGAAAATACCTACTTCAAAAATACAAACTAGAACAATAACAAAACCACTTTTAAACCATTCTGCACTTTTTATTATTTTCATACTGACTACTCCTGGGTCTAGTTTCCTGTAAGCTTGCTTCAGATAGAACTTCTTTAACTTCCCAAATAAAGGCCCAGTGTGAGCATTCCTAGCTGACACTTTCAATGACCCATCCTAATCCCTTATCCACAGACTTCTGACTGCAGGTATCGAAATCTTTGTGCCAGCGGGCATTCTATAGAGCCAAAGCACTGCCCTGCCCCACATGGCAGAGCAGAAATGCCGGGAAGAAACACCCTTGGAGCAGCCTTCAACCAAAGACCCTTGAGAGTCATTGTGTAAATGACTTAGATGGGGTAGGATAACTCAAAGTCAAGTGTTTACCCCCACGTCTCAGAGTTTCCCTACAGAATTAAGCCCCAATGGCCCACAGTGGTGGCTGAGCTTCTAACATCTTTACTGGCTATCTTTTCTACTCAGTATTACCTTGGCACCTCCCCTCTCCGTTCCCACTGATGTTCCCTGTGTCTCCCAAATCGACTGCTTGCCCTTGAGTCCTTGTCTCAGGTCTGTCTCTGGGGGAACCTAAAAGAAGCAACATCTCTGCAGAAATCTTTTCCTTATTAAGCAATCTAAAGTGTCCAAGAGAGTGCTTAAAGCTTCCAACCCTGCTTTCTGCATTGATTTTTTTTTCCTTCTTCCCCGCGGATTTGCCAAACCACAGAGAAGGTATCTATAAAGGACCCCGAGCCTAAAAACAGGGAAGACTCCAGTGGGTCTGTGATGAAAAGCACCAACCAGCTCTGCAAGGGGCAGCCTCACTTTCCCACGGGTGCTGCCCTGGGGAGACAGACACAGAACTTGGGGTTTACAGCACATCTTCACTCTCCAGGACAAAGTGGCTGGGTGGCTTTGCCGAAGGAGCGGTGTTCCCATGATGAGGACCGCCAGGCAATTAGGTTCTTGTTCTCTCCAAATTTCAGTAGGAATACAGAAGTTTTATTTTTAACTCTGCGGGGAGGCGTTGCCATGGTAACACAAGGAACTCCAAGAGCAATTTGATTGATTGATGATGTTGTGATGAAGGAGGATTGACATGAAAGACAGTGGGGGGAAAAATCACCCAGCTTTATCACCCTGGGCTGAGTTTATAGATCTTGGTTATGAGACACTAATAGTATATGATATCTGTCTATCCTTATGCAAAAGGAAACACAGATGTTTTCCTACTCTGGTCCCCAAAGCAAAATGGGGAAGAAAGAAACTAGTGAATTGACCATCAGAGAAGGGAGCTGGTCTCATTAATTGAAGAGGCAGGTGATAAATGCAGCTGAAAGAACATAACATTTGCTAGGCAGGCTAGGCAGAGCGTTCCAATGCCCCACCCAGCAGGCACTGAGGGCACAATTCTGCTACTCCCTGTCCCTAACACATTTCACTTTCAACCATCCTCTCCTTTCTTTTTTTTAAATATAATTTATTGTCAAATTGGCCAACATACAGTGTGTCAAGTATGCTTTTGGTTTTGGGGGTGGATTCCCGTGGTTCATCACTTGCATACAACACCCAGTGCTCATCCCAACAAGTGCCCTCCTCAATGCCCATCACCCATTTTCCCCTCTCCCCCCACCATCAACCCTCAGATTGTTCTGTGGATTTAAGAGTCTCTTGTGGTTTGCTTCCCTCCCTCTCTGTTTGTAACTATTTTTCCCCTTCCCTTCGTCCATGGTCTTCTGTTAAGTTTCTCAAGATCCACGTATGAGTGAAAACATATGATATCTGTCTTTCTGTGACTGACTTATTTCACTCAGCAGAATACCCTCCAGTTCCATCCACGTTGCTGCAAATGGCATGATTTCATTCTTTCTCATTGCCAAGTAGTATTCCATTGTACATATAAGCCACATTTTCTTTATCCATTCATCAGTTGATGGACATTTAGGCTCTTTCCATAGTTTGGCTATTGTTGAAAGTGCTGCTATAAACATTGGGGTACAAGTGCCCCTATGCATCAGCACTCCTGTATCTTTTGGATAAATTCCTAGTAGTGCTGTTGGTGGGTCGTAGGGTAGTTCTATTTTTAATTTTTTGAGGAACCTCCACACTGTTTTCCAGAGCAGCTGCACCAGTTTGTATTCCTACCAACAGTAAAAGATGCTCAACGTCACTTATCATCAGGGAAGCACAAATCAAAACCACACTGAGATACCACCTCACACCAGTCAGAGTGGCTAAAAGTAACAAATCAGGAAACAACAGATGCTGGCGACAATGTGGAGCAACGGGAACCCTCTTGCACTGTTGGTGGGAACCATCCTCTTCTTTCAAGTTACCTTCCTCTTAGTGGTGGGGATAACATATTTGAAATAACCCTGCAGGTGTTTTCCCTCCTGGAAAATTCAACATCTTTCCTTACAGCCCAGACACTGTCCTTGGCCCAGGGAAGGTAAAGGAGGATGCCAGCAGGGTGGAAGGAAGGTGTGACACAGGAGGGATTCCCATCAGACAGGAAAGGGATGTGGAAAGCTTTTCTGGAAGTGAACGGAGAAAGTTCTTGAGCAGCAATTCTCAAAATGATCCAGATCTTCCTGTGGGTCCTTCCAAGATCCTGCCAGGGGGTCCGTGAGATCAAAGCTATTTTCATGCTCCTGCTAAGGCATTGTTTGTCTTTTTCACTCTCACCCTGTCAAGAAGGCACAGTGGAGTTTTCCAGAGTCTACACAGCACGTTACCACAATAGTTTCAATGCCAAAGTATATATCTTCTATTAGATATAGGCTTAAATACATGCATCTTCTATGAAGCCAGATATTGAAGGAATTTGAAAAAAAAATGTAAAACCAGCTTTCTTACTAATTTTTTTAGGAATCTAGTTATCTTCCACTTTTAAATGTTATTTATATTAGTCTATAATAGCTATTTACTTTCTTTTTATTTTTAAATGGATTAATAAAAATTTTAAATTTCTATTTTAATTTCTAATACAGTAAAAATAACTAGTTACAGATCTTCCTCAACTTGCAATACAGTTATGCCCCAATAAGCCTATTGTAAGCTGAAAATATTATAAGTCAAGGGGCACCTGGGTGGCTCAGTTGGGTTAAGCATCTGACTTTGGCTCAAGTCATGATCTCACGGTTTTTGAGTTTGAGCCACACGCCTGGCTCTCTGCCGTCAGTACAGAACCTGCTTCAGATCCTCTGTCTCCCTCTCTCTGTCCCTCTCCTGCTCGTTCTCTCTCTCTCTCTTTATTTATACATACATACATACATAACTTTAAAAAAGAAAATACATAAATAACTTTAAAAAAGAAAATACATAATAACTTTTAAAAAAAGAAAATACTGTAAGTCAAAAATGCATTTAATACAGCTAACCTACTGAACATTAGAGCTTGAGAAGAGAAAGGAAGAGGAAACACCTTGCAAAGCAGAAAGAAACCCTCTGTGAAGCTTGTACTTTAAGTCAACTGTGTATTTACTCACAAAGGATTATTTCATGCTAGAAAGCATGAAAACACTTAAAGTGTTTTTTCCACATCAATTCAAGTTGTTGTTTCCAGCAATGGGAGATCAACTTCTTTGGGGGAGAGAAGACTGTATCTGAGTCATAATGTTTACATTTTGACCCCAGCTCAATGTTCTTCTTTTTCTCTATTCCTCTCCTATTAAAAAAAAAAAAAAAAACAAACAAACAAAAAAAAAAAACCCTTTCCCTTTATCA